TGACTAAACGTGGCATGACTGTCAGTGCCAGATGTTCCGATCTCAGTATTTTAAACGCTACTGATCTACTGAAGTTTTGAAAATGCCTTGTTGATGTTGATATACATATACTCAAAAGTTTAGTGGCTTCTCGACAAGAACATCGACAGGCTCCTGTATTTCTTATTATGCTTATAAATCACATCACGGGCAGAAAAGTAGCTTCTGCAAGGGTTTCCTTAGAATAACAGAAAAACCATATTTACTTCTGAAGAAAAAAACAAATACCTGATTGTATTCGTTTTCGGATGGCTGCTTTGCTACATTAGTGCAAGATTATGCACTAATGTAACAAAGTTCAAATCTTCTTCTTGGTGTTATTGAGTTCACTGTACTCTTCTTCTGATTCTGGTCTCTAAATTCACCAGAATCTAATCAAATAGAGGACCTTTATAGTGTGTTGGAATAGGAGATTTGCATTATGGATGTACAGCCAACAACTCACCAAAACTGTATTATGTTTTTGTGTCAATTTGGATCAAAACTCTAAGAAAACAACTAGTTGAATCTCTGCCAGGAAGAATTTGGGGGGTGGCTTTAAAAGAAAAGGCAATCTAATCCAGTAATAGCAAGGTGTCTCAAATAACTTCTCCACAGAGTGTAAATGCAAAAGACAATCTAGAAATAGCAGTAGGTTATTATCGCTGTGTTTGTTGGCTAAGTTTATTTTTTTTTGCTCAAGGTAAGCCTGCTGACAACAAAAGCTGTCAGTGATCTGATAAATTATGTCAGGTTCGAACTAAAAGCAGAAAATTCAATGTTAAACTTTCCCCAAAAAAACTCCTAAATTAAGGCTGAACTCTCACCAACTCTTTGTATCGGAGCACCGCCTGCTCTCCCCGCTGCAAGCTCTCATCTCTCCTGTTTTTGGCTCTCCTGATCTTTTCCTCTGCCTTTCGATGGCTGCTGATCTTTTTCACCAACACAACCACAGATCCCACTGCACAGACAACACCAGTGAGCAGAGCCGCCCTCTGACTGTCCATCTTCACTCCCTTGAGAAAATCCTGGATGTTCTGCAAGGCTTGCATCTTTGTCCTGTCACCGCAACTCCAGTTTTAAACGGCACAGGTCAGCCTTAGTCAGGCTTAAGTATGCTAATCAAGAGGGCGCTGTTGTGCCTAAATCGTTGTCAGGGACCAAGCAGTAAAGCATAAAGGACACAGCTGTTTTAATTCAAAAAGGGGGTTTTATTGACCCAAAAACATAAAGATATATTTAACAAAGCCAAAACTTAAACAGGAAGACCAATAAAAGAGGTCAACTCAATAGACTAAACTCAAGATAATAATTAACAAAACCTCAAACAAACATAAGATAAACTGACCTGCTGAAATGGGGGAACTTAAACACTGGTTTAGCTAAACCAAATGACACACACGGGGAAAATAAAATGGCTGCCATATAACCAACTAATACAAGTCAATTAAACAAACATGAAACACCCCCCAGGCAATGAAGCATGTGGTGCTATCCAATTAGGCTGTGAGTGGTACTTCAGGTCTCCCAGCCCTTTGCCACACCTTTTGCCAGACATAAACACACCAGCAATGTTTTGGTTCTATAACATTTTTCTATTATTACTTTATTATGAATTATAGGTGCAAGAGTTTTAGAGTGTGGATAATTAAATAATAGATCAATGTAATAGCAAATTGTGCCTTGTTCTCAGATTCACAGCAAGTGGAGAGTGATAGATGAGATCAGGAGATGGAAGGAGGAAGAGAGGCAAGAATGATTCACAGGCAGAGAAAAGTTTGTTTCTCACAGTTTTGTTCCCTTATGGTTTCAAGCACTGTCACTAATCTTTGCATTTTATTATTATCTCATAACACTTGTTTAATCAGCTACCATCTCTCCTATGGACTTTTTAATGTCTACAGCAGGAGTGGGCGACTCCAGGCCTCGAGGGTCGGTGTCCTGCAGGTTTTAGATGTGTCATTGATCCAACACAGCTGATCAGGGCTGGACTGGGACAAAAAATCAGCCCGGGCATTTTGACTAGTTACCGGCCCACCATGGTATTATAGGAAAAGCCATAAAGCCTTTATAATAAACTTAAACCTACACCATCCTCCCTATTCTGGTATTCTAAACAGTACTTAGCAAAACTATAAAACAACCTAATTTATAATTACATATACCTCACTAATAGGGTTGCCACCTCCCAGCAAAAAAAGAAAAGAAAGAAAAATAGGAAACCACTCCCCCACCCTCTGCCTCAAGATGCTTTACTGACAAAACCGATTTTAATTTAATGCACGTATAAAACAAATGCACAGACATCTATTATTTTTCTCCAGTAATTAAATAGATTTAACATCTTTCTTCAACAGAATTGCAGACTGCACAGATGGTATCTTAACAAAGGAAAGAATACCATAACTTACTAGGGCATATACTAGACTTAATATTTACTGAATACAATAATGGATTTCTATACATTTTACATCAGATAAAAAGTTTGGTTGTAAGATTCAGATAATTATTTATTAAAATGTAGACATCATGACCAGCAGGTTTACAGCTGTGGCTCCAGCAAACATCAGCTGATACTAGAAATTAATATTAAATAAATTCTAACAACAGCTGATCAAGCTTAAACGTGCTGCTGCTGTTTACCGCGACATCCGCTGGTTTCCTCTTTCTGGCGCAAAGTGGGCGATAAATAAACAAGAGAGAAAAGCCGATCAGCTGATCATTGATCAGTTTCATGATTGAAGTAGAAACAGGAGAGGGAGGGGGGAGAATGAAAGAAGAAGAGGCAGCTGTGCAGCAAAGACACAGAATAAATCCAGCTTTGTGTCTTTTTCATTGTAGCTGAAGTCCGGGACAAACTGTTCCTTTTCACCTCAATACCAAACGCTTGATATTTTCTCTGAATACGAGACGATTCCGTTTTTTACGGGACGGTTGGCAACTCTAATAATTAGCCTTATGAACAAAATAAAGTTCAACATCAGTAACATAGCACCCACCCAGCTGTATAGAAACTCTGTCATGCTAGCTAGTACGCAGTACGGAAAAGTCAACACAACGAAAATAAACTCCACCTAAACTTGGTTCATATCTGACCCAGATGGACTGCAGGTTATAACTTCTTACCTGAAGTTCAGTTCACCTGACACTCGGACCAGCAGCCGCTTCGGGTCTCTCCTCTTGCCTCCCTTTTCCTTCATCCACCTGCTGGCTTTCACCACTTGCTAATGTTATTGAATCTGTGGAAGCTCTGCGATAGCCACCACACGAAGTAACGAATAACAAGCCTATTTAAATCCCAGTACCGAGTAACGCCTTCCTGGTTTTGGCATAATAACTAGTTACCGTGCTCGTTACCACAATAATAACGTAGTTACTGTAACGCGTTACTTAATAACGCATTAGTCCCAACACTGCTCACCACATATCCAAACCAACATCATGACCAGCAGCTTTACAGCTGTGGCTCCAGCAAACATCAGCTGATACTAGTAATTAATATTAAATAAATTCTAACAACAGCTGATCAAGCTTAAACGTGCTGCTGTTGTTTAGTGCGACCTCTTTCTGGTGCAAAGTGGGCCAGCCTGGTTCTGCCGGAGGTTTCTTCCTGTTAAAAGGGAGTTTTCCTTCCCACTGTTGCCAAAGTGCTTGCTCACAGGGGGTCATATGATTGTTGGGTTTTTCTCTGTATCTACTGTACAATATAAAGCACCTCGAGGTGACTGTTGTTGTGATTTGGAGCTATATAAATAAAATTGAATTGAAAATTGAATTGAATTGAAAAATGTTTATAGAGGTCATACTTTTATCAAGGGGTATACATTTGTCATGACTGACTTGAGTAGCTGAGTAAGTTAAAGGGTTGCTAGATCAAGACTAGCAACCCTAAAACGGAGAAACCTTTATTATCTAGCGTGCATCAAGACTTAAAACATGGAGCAGTTGAGTCAGTTTTAATTCTCACATGTTTAAACTGCCTTGCTCACTACTGCTCAGGTTACCTGTTGGGAAGTTTTGAACAAAAAGCCTGTCTTCTAAAAGCTATATGGAAGTTCTGGAAGTTTTTTTTTCAATAATATCAATAATACATGAGTTCAAAATACAGTCGTGGAATGTGGAAGCTGCTCTCTTCTGTTGTTTTTTTGGCTACATTATTACATGCTGTAAATTCAATTCCAAAAAATTGAAAAAGTTCTACATTTTGTTTGTACTTTTTTTTTTTACTGAAGCTCACTTGATAATTACAACAAAGTGACAACAAAGCCCAAAACTCGTGACAACCAATCCTATATAAGGGTTTCAATCATCAACAATGCATGCAAGTGAAACAGTGTGACAACCAACCCCAGTCAACCCTACTGGCAGTGCAGAGGATGCTCAACCCTTTGACACATTTAAATAGCATTTATGGGGAAAACTCAAGTGATAGGTTTGTAGCTTGAACCTATTCGCTGGAACGTTGAGGACAATATAATTACACAGCAAGCAAGACACGAAGTAGGCAAAGTTCTTCATGTTTCTCGTGCATGGGAGAGAACCGGACAAACGCCGTTCCTTCGCTTGACCCCAGTTGCTCTCGTCCGTTCTCCCGTAACACTACTCTTTTATTGAGGTTACATGAATATGCATAGGTTCATGAACATATGACGTCTACATACACACAAAGAGTACCTTGCCTTTGTGTGTGTGTGTGTGTGTGTGTGTGTGTGTGTGTGTGTGTGTGAGGTCAAGATGTGACCCTGTGAAGACTCCCCAAAGCTGGTGCCAGGAGTCTAGCGGGTCCATCTGAACAAAAGGCTCTTATACTTAATGAGATATACGTGTGTTTGCCATATATCAACAAGAGAAGATACGACCTCTCCTAGGAGGTGTGTGATCTTATGCCAGAACACTCTGTAGAGGAGTGAACGCACTCCCCTCTTCATGCTACACAGAGTTGTTACAGACCTCCTAGGATGAGACATTCTTTCAATCTACAAATGATTATACACCTCTAAGCATATATGGTTAAATATTTCTAAGCATAATTGGCAATCAACAATACAAAACCTAACATCAAGTTAACGTGTCTCCTCTGAAGTCTGCAGTCTTTCATGTGAGACTCAGAATGAAAGCAGCTTTACTTCTTGCTCTGTTTGACCAGTTGTTCCACTTCCTTCATGAGGCGCAGGCAGAGTTCATCCTGCCACGGCAGAGCAACACACTGGACCGCCACAGGCAGACCCTCGCCTCCAGTCACTGCCTGAACACAAAAAAAACACACCTGTCACTTAACGCTCAGCAGCTGAACATACCACAGTCTTTTGCCTTCACCTACTGACAAACTGTGGAATTTCAGATACAGATTATGTATAAGTGCAAGGCCAGAAGACCTGCAAAAAGACTAAGATGAGACAATAAATGACAGAACCACAAGGAAATGATACAAAACACTGACAAATTTTGGAGTCACAATAGTCTGATCTGGTTCAGTTCTTGGTTCTGTGTAGGATGGATCAAATTGGGCAATGACCTTTCCGAAAGCACTGGAGGGTTGCCCATTATTGGACATTCTTTATGAGATGAGATGAGATGAGATGAGATGAGATAGCCTTTATTTGTCAGTTGCAGTTACCCACAACCGAGATTCAGATTCAGAAGACTTTATTTATCCCCAAGGGGAGATTAAGAGACTGACTTTGCCGACCGTACATACAATAGACAAACATCACATTGGGGAGACAGGTCAGGCTGGGTAGCTGGCCGGTCAGCTACACGAGCAGCGACCCGGGACCGAACAATGGAAAAATGCACAACATCAGGAAAGACAAGGAGAAAAAAGAACTCCCCCAAGACTGAGCTCCAACAGGGGGATCAGTTTGAGAACAGAAAAAAAAACACCTCAGCGCATAGTACATGAAAAACTCTTAATACACCATAGAAACACATGACAAGCAACAGGGATGGATAAAAGGTGAGAGACAGCCACTGTAGACAGCGCATCCAGGCCTGCAGCATATGCGCTGGTTCCCTGTGATCCACTGTCTGCATTGGGAGGGGATAAGCATTGAAGGCATTTGGAAGGGGAGCGGGGATGAATGTATATCTGTGTATGTCCAGAGTTCAGCTGAGAGAGTATCCTTTGCCCTGCCAGGCTAAGTAAACAGTCTTCCAGCCAACCCAAGTGGCCTTGCGTAGGATAGGGGAGGAAGAGTCTAAACACCGTCCGTTATCCGGGAGAATTTGTTTTGTTCAGCTCCAGCCTTGAGACCACAGCTGTTGCCGAAATGGTAGCTACATGAAATGATGGTGTTTTTTTCCTTTAGTGCGAACAACTTACGTGAATTTCAAAGCCGTTCTAGCAGTCCGACACTGGTCTCTCAATCTCCCGTTGGAGAGCCGTGAGCTCAAAGAGCAAATTCTGAGAACTCAAGACCGCCGTGAGCTGTTATTCAATTTTCGCTCATATATATATATATATATATCTATATATATATATATAGATATATATAAAATTGGCAAAATGGAGAATGGCTGATTTTGAAAAACAAGAACTATTTAGTACTTTATATTCTTTCTTTTATATTTCCAGAGGTCTAAATTGCAGTAACAAACCCTTTTTAATCTTCACAGAGGTGTAATAGGAACATGACTCTGACGGCCGTGTCTACAACAGCACAATTGAAATAATCTGCTAATATTCATTCATTTATCATAGTCATATAAATCAGATACAGAGTAAGACTGTCCACTTCAACCTTACTTTCACATTTAAGTTACTTTGCAGCCCTCCTGTAGGCCCCTCACATGCAGGAGGTGGAATGTAATGTATGAAACTTATGGGCAGTGGTTACAGTCTTGCTGCCTGTATGTTAGAGTTCTCACTGACTGGTTGAGACGGTTGGTACCCTCACTTGACTGATGTAGTTAAACAACTCCTGCATGACTCATTTCAATCTCATCTCTGCTTTTGACAGATGATGTGCTCCTGTTGGCTTTATCAGGTTGTGGTATCCAGCTCTAACTGGAGCGGTGGGTATAAGAATTTGCACTTCCAAGTCTGAGACTGTGGTCTTCAGCCAGAAAAGGACGGAGTGCCTACTTTGAGTCAGGGAGGAGTATGGTCATGAGCTTTGGGTTGTGACCGAAAGTTCAAGATCGCAGATCCAAGCCTTCTCCAAAGGATTACTGGACTCTCCCTTAGAAGTAGTGTGAGGTGTTCAGCCATCCAAGAGAAGCCAGAGTAGATCTGTCACTTCTCTACATTGAAAGGAGCCGGTTGAGGTGGTTCGGGCATCTGATTAGGATGCCTTCTGGACACCTTCAGGGTGAGGTATTCCAAGCATGTGCTACATTGGAGACATGATATCTCTCATCTAGCCATAATAAATTATCTATAGTTTAAGCTTTACATCTGTGTCTCCCAGAAGATTATTTCTGCAGGAAAACCTGCTGTCACAGTAGCTTAAACTACACTATGTGTTCAATTAGTCATCCCTCACTGGCATGTGTTACTTTCCTCTTTCTTTTTCTCTTTTTTGAGTAATGACACCAACTTTGATACACCTCAAACAGGCAGAAACATTTGACCTCACACAATGCAATTAATTTGCATGAGTGTAATGTCTTTGATACGCTGCTTAGAAATGGTGGTTCTCAAAGTGGAGCCAATGAGAACCCAATGAGGTCAGAGAACTGATTTGCAATTGGAATCGCTAAATTCTTATCTATTCCCATCCCTACTTGGTAATCTGTATGTTTTTAATCACATCTTTGTGTAGCATTCCAAATAAACTGACGAGTGACTATGTTTTCAATCAGTCTTATCTCACTGGTACATGTTGCCTACCTCTTTGAAGAGTTTGTCCCACATGTCCTGATAACAGCCCTTATAGTGCTTGAGTTCCTCCTCATCCTTTGCGGTCACTGTGGAAACAGTGACTACACCCGCAGGAAAGTTAAGGAGATTGTAGACAACTGTGTAACTAATAGCAGCTGAAATAACAGAAAATATAAATATATTATTATGTAGAATATTTATTAATATTCAATATAATAATTAATATTGAAATTTATTTGTCCAGGCTGTCAGGCTGCTCTTGCCAAAGTAATGTTAAAAAAAGCAGTTACAATCAAAGAGTCAAAGTTGTGCTGTGATTCAATGCAAAATCACAAAAAATAATCCATTCTCTAACAGGGAGTTTATCAGCAAGTGTTTTGTGGCTGAAATTGGACAAACTGTGATAAACAGAACACTATGTTGTCACTTGTACTGAGTGTATCATACTTGGAATTTTGCTACAGTAAAACAAGTTGTAGGCTGGTCCAATCACAGGGCACAGCAGTACATCGATGTTGCAGCTCCTCCAATGTGCTATTGTCTCTTGAATGTAGTCCTAAAGAAAACACAGGAAATCTCAATTTCATCTTCAGATTTTCATACGTGACCATGCATCATCAGCTGACAGTACCTCAACAGCAGCATGTTGCTTCCACAGCTCAGGAACAGATCTAAAAATGAAGCATATCATTCCTAGAACATGTATAATATGAAAATCTAACAAAGGATGAAGTACAAATAAAACATTTCAAGAATACTTTCTCACCGAACTCCACAAAGAGCCCTCATGTTGGCAGAGACACGAGGAGACTGCAGATAGATAGATAGGTATGCATTATTCTGCTAAATCACTCAATCCGGTGATTTAAATAAACAGACCATCTATTTGACTATTTTTGTATGTGTCTGTCACAGAATTGGAGGGCTTACCTTAGATTTGAGCAGAAATGAATGGATTGTCTTATACCACTTAGGAAGACGGTAACGATGAAACTGTCCCTTCAGACAAGGGTCCTCGGGTCCCCCCTTCCTAAAAAGAAAGGGCTCATTAGCACATAAGAAAAAAGCCTATTTTGAGATACTTAACTAATTAATGGAATAGTTTCAAAACCAGTCAACACCATCGTGTGCTCAAGAAGACAATGGCAGCATCTCTAGGTATTAAAAACCTATTAACTAAACTGTTAAAAGAAAAAACTCACAGTTTGGTTAACAGGCTGGTACCTCCATCTGCTAAAAAACCCTTTACCATTAGTTCAGGGAAAATTTCATCCATCTTCAGTGGATGGTAAGGGACCAACTAGAGAAACAAAAGCCAACATTAAAAACATGACTTGAAAATGATTGTTATATGTTTTTGTTTTTGTTTTTGTGTGTGTGTGTGTGTGTGTGTGGTGACGTCTTACTGTGTGTCCTGCTTGCTCTAACAGAGCTTTCACCTCTCTAACGCCTCGGGCCATGCTTGGAGATGGATGCATGTAGCCATCGTTTTCCAAACAACCAATCCTTAGAGGTTTGGTGGTTCTGTATCTCTAAGAGGGAATCACTTTTTGTTTTTAATGCTCACATGAAATGAGACCATTTATGCATATATATGCACAGGCAATTACAACAAAGGATTATCAACAAGTGACATGAATCCCACAGTACAAGACACACCTCCATGTTAAAAGGTAATGGTGGAACAGTGGGGTCCAAAGAAAACATGTGGTCACAAAGAAGTGCCTGCATGCACAGAGCCAGGCTGTCCACATCTCTTGCCATGGGTCCAGGTGAAGATAGCACTAGTTTAACATGAAACAAGAAGCAGTAAACAAAATTCCCTGACTGTTTTTTCCCAGGACTGTCTATCAGTATCCCAATTTTGATTCTGTATATATGTAGTAGGGGTGCAACGATATTCGTATCGATATTGAACCGTTCGATACAGTGCTCTCGGTTCGGTACGCATATGTATTGAACAATACAAAATTTGTAATTTATTTTATCAACTTTCCTTCTGACGATGCTGTCTGTGTTGAGCGCTCAGTGAATCTGCGTTCGACTACTCCGCCTAGGCTGCACTTTTGAGCGCAGATCCACTGAGCGCTCAACACAGACAGCATTGTCAGAAGGAAGAGCGCAGGGCAAGCTAGCGAGACAGAAGTTAAGCTCTCCTTGCAACATGGCAAATTGAACCTCCCCCACCCTCATTCAGATCTGGCCTTTGGAACTATTTTGGTTTTCATGTGACGCATGACCCTGAAGGTAAGCGAGTCATGGACTAAAGTAAAACAGTATGTTGGATGTGCCATGCAATGCTCAATTACATGGCTGGGAACTAGTGCGTTAGCGCAGTTAGCTCGTTAACGTGTTGGCCGTCTAGCCCCATGCACGGGTGATCAGGGGTAGCTCGTTAACGGAGATTTGCAGTGTTGTGGCGTTAAGGTCATTTCAACGAGATTAACCTGACAGCACTAGTGGGAACACAACGAATATGACTGCACATTTACACCGACATCATCCTAGTGCAAAGACAAGTGGAAGCAGACAAAAACAACAAGCGCGTATGCTACAAACTTTAACCGAGTCATTTAGACAGCCGTTAGCACATGATTCTCCTTATGGGGACCTGATATGTTTAATATGCTGCTGAGAATATAGCCCAGAAGAAGCGTATAGTATAGCTTTTACTTTGGAAAGAGCCATTTCTCTGTAATAAACTCTCTTTTCCAAAGATGAGTGATTCCTCAATCAGATACAGGGCTCGCAATATCGCTAGCCCGACGTCCCGGGGCTAGCGATTTTTCCAGTCGGGCTACCAAAATCTATCTCTTCCCTGCCCGTCGGCCTATCGTAGGAAGGAAAAATATATGTCAATGCTTTTGCATTCTTTCAGAAATGTAGCTGGGTAATTATGTCATTGGCATCGGTGAGCCACTGTCAATATGTGACATTGAAATCACGTTTGAATTTGCGCTTGTTTTTTTGCTTTCACTTTGCAATCGCGCAAACTGTGTATAGAGAGCGACAGCACTGATTGGTGAGTGACGATAATTTGTGCACCAATTCCTCTGACATCGTCTTATCAATCGTTAGCTTACTACGCAAACATGACAAGTGAAATCTCCCACAGCTTAAACATGTGAGAGGTTGATCGCGCAGAGAATCGCTGAGCGTTATGTGAGTGCCTGTGTAAGAGCAGCAGGATATATATTTCAGTTCTGCTGAGCCAAATAAGACAGGTCAGGGTGAAGAAGTGACAGCCAAGGAAAAGCTTACCACAAAACGGAGAAGTTATGACAAATCAGACTATAAGGCAAAAAGAAAGTGCAGCTTTATGGTTTCATGGACAAAATAATTTCTGTGGCTGCGATATGATGAGCTAAATAACCAGGGCTGCACATAAGTGGTCTGCAGGTGCGCATTCGCTGTCAAAATAAAAAACACGCACAAGGGTTAGGGTTAAATTTAAAAACTGTACTTTTGAGTTAAAATATATATTTATAATTTTAATAAATGACAAATTAAAAAGGCATGAACATTTTTTTTGTATCGAAAAAATATCGAACCGTGACACCAAAGTATCGAACCGAACCGTGAATTTTGTGTATCGTTGCACCCCTACTAAGTAGATATGTCACTTACCTGACTTTTGCCCTCTATAAGTTGGACAAACTCCCTGTGAACTAATCATTACACAAAAGGTGAGATAAAAGTTTTTCTCAGCAATGTATAATAATTTTCCAGGAAACTGACTGAATGAGACCCACCTGAGCCGACCCGCTGTTGGTTTGAAACCACAGATTCCACAGAAGGATGCAGGAATACGGATACTGCCACCTAGATCAGTGCCTATACCAAGCAGGGAGCCCCCTCCCCCGATGAGAGCCCCCTCCCCACCAGTTGAACCTCCAGAGGTCTTCTGGGGGTTATGAGGGTTCACAGTCTGCCCGTAAATAGGATTACTGCAGTCACAGCTGAATTTGAACAGACAAGAAGGTGAGAAGTCTTTGCATGTTATGCACATGTGGAATAGCAAACACAACTGACTGAGTTTTAACCACATCAGACATAAAAGGCAGATGGGGTATTGTCATCACCCCTCCAGGTGGGCAGAGTGGATACCCAAGTTTGTGAATGTGATAACTCCAGAATTAAGTGAGGTGACATAGGAATTTCGAATTGGTGTATCTTCTAAAAATCTTGGATGACTTTGAATCTCAATGACTTCGCCCTTAAGGTCATAGGTCAGCTTTTCTAAAAATTACCCGGATTTTCAAATTTATGCCATAGGTGCATCTAGGAGGCTGACGGGCAGAAATGGCAGACACCGGTATTTTTAAATTGGCTCTAGATTTATGTCAATCACCAATAAAAGATTTACCTCAAAAGACCTTGAGGCAAGTTGGTTTTCACAAAGGGAATAGCTCCTTGTTTCTTCAGGACTTGAACAAGCACACTGTCCTTTTCAGCGGGCTGGTCCAGGTTAATGATCACACCACAAGAACAGTCATGATTCTTGTGTTGTGAAAAAAAAGAGAAAGAAAGAAGAAAAAAGATGATAATGGTGCTTCAAAGATGTGAATAATAATGCTTGGGAATGCTATAAGTTAGACATAACATAGAAATTAGTTAGAAATACTGACCAGAAGGCCTGCAATTGATATTTGCATTATTTAACCTTTGTAATACCTTAAATGTAATATTTTCTTTGATGCTAACTGGAACTCCGTACAAGAGACCATCCTTGTTGGAGCCAACAGTTGTCAGCTGGTCCAAACTCTCCAGCAAAATTTCAGTGCAGCAGTTCAGCTTTTTGTTTACAGCCAGAGTCTGTTGGAAAGGAAACAAGCACAGACAGTTTGAGATTAACTTATCTACCTTGAAGGGACCTTGATCTTTGTAATCACTCTGTAAAATATTGAACTCTTGTTGGAAACATTGAACCTTTTGGTGTATTTGAGCTATTATGAAAGATTTGTGTCATGTTGGATACTGAACCTTTTCCATGTAAGAGTAAAGCACATCCTCGGGGGTAAGTGAGCCTTCCTTTAGCTGCTGTGTCAGCTCAGACAGGGAGAGTGTCAGGATGAAAGCAGAGTCGGTTGTCGGATGCTAGAAGACACAGACCCACACAGAATCATTATGTCATTAAAAAAGCTGCAGCAAACAAATAAAAGCATATGAATGTAGAGATTTTCCACTTCTTTACAAACTCTGTCAAACGTGACAATGACAATTCACAGTGCTTAAATGGTGTCAATGGAAAATTGTATTTAGTAGTCAGTATAATCTTTTAGTGATATAAGTTTGCATATGGTAGAATACTGCATGTAGTTATTTGTATTAGGAAATATTTAACCATGTATGCTTAGAGGCATATAATTAATTGTGTAGTGACAGGATGTGTGATCTCTAACAGGCTGCAGGCTTGGTGTGCACTCCAGGAATGCACCCCCACGTCCTGGGAGCATGAGAGTTCGTACCTTGTTTTATCGTTTTACGGTAGGATTAACGTAGCTATGTCTGTTTTAGTTTAAGTGCTTTAACTGCTGGACTTCCTCACCGTGTTATCTAGGGTGAACCATCTAGGGTGGGGGAGACTACCGTCTTTGCGACCAAGGATGTACCTTTTGTGCTTTCATGTTATATGACCCTTTGATCAGCAACACACACACACACACACACACACACACACACACACACACACACACACACACACACACACACACTGAGACCGGGGCAGTTTCTCAGCGCGAGTCTCAGTTTGGAGGCTGCCCTTGCTAGCAAGAAGTTCTGTGTGTTTCTCTTCTCTGAGTCTTTACTGAAGAAGTGTTTTAGAACATTTTCCCTAACAAATGGTCTCCACAATTACCAGATTTAAATCTGACAGAGCACCCTTAGGATGTGGTGGAACAGGAGATTTACATCACTGATGTGCAATCAACAAATCAACTGCAACTGGTAATGCTATTGTGTCAATATGGACCAAAATCAAACAAACGACCTAGAATAGCTGCATATTATTGGTGTGCTTTTAACTTTTATTTTAATGCTCATGTTTAAAAGCCCTCCTGCCAGCATGGCAGGTAATGGCCCATTGAAGTTGCCCGTATATGACTTACTTTTGTAACGATTTTGAAATGCTCTAAATAGAAAAAATCCTGTTTCCACAGGATAATTTCACCTTAGATCAACAGTATACAACCTCACGATGTTACCATATCAATTTCAATTACTTTGGAAAGTAAAATCAGACTGACTTGATATTGACATGGTATCACTGGGGGCTGTATACTGTAAATACAGAGTAAAATTATCCTGTGGAAACAAGAATTTTTCTTTTTAGAGCATTTTGAAATCGTTAGAAGAGTAAGTCAAATATGGGCAATTTCAGATTTCTGTGGTTGGATAGTGTTGATATAAAATGCAACTAGTCTTTGTAAATATGACTTTTGCTTTTAACTCATTCACTGCCAGGGTTTTTGAGCATTTTTACTCATTTTTGAAGAGCCACAGAAAACTGTGTGTTATGATCATATAAACGCTGAACCTACCAAAATGAAGAACAGACTCTCTTCTTCCATCCAAAAAAAAAAAAGCTTGTTTCTACCATTTTCCATTCTTTAGTAATCAGCTGTAGAAGAGAGGTGGGTTCCACCAAAAATGCCTGTTTTGACCACAAAAAGGGAGAAAACGAGCTTTTTGTGAAAAATACATTTCAAGCAGTCTGATGTTCACTGACAAGCTGCCCGAGGTTGTATTCTAGCCCCTCCCATTGAAAAACGTAATTGACGTCTATAGACGTCAATGGCAGTCAACGTAAGTTTTTCAATTGACGTCTATAGACGTCAATGGCAGTGAATGAGTAAAGAGCATTCTGAAGTCATTGAAAGAGAAGTTCAAAAATGAAAATTCACAGGGCTTTTACTTTGAAATCCAAAAGGAGATGGCTTTAATATTGACATGTTATTTTGAAATCAGGTTTCAACATCTTTTGCCATAATACTTTGAATACACAGGGAATGTAAAACAAAGTGGAGGCTGGCTTGACTGCAATGCTTGAATTGGAGGCTGGCTTGACACCAGTGCCAGGTCTGAACTAAAAGCACATAATTTGTTTTGATTTCTATCTAAAGAAAAAGTTAAACATTTCAGTGTTTAAAGCTCTGAACTCTCACCGACTGTTTGTACCGGAGCACCGCCTGCTCTGCCCGCTGCAAGCTCTCATCTCTCCTGTTTCTGGCTCTCTTGATCTTTTCCTCTGCCTGTCGGAGGCTGTTGATCTTTTTCACCCGCACAACCAGGTATCCCACAATGCAGGCAACACCAGTGAGCAGAGCCGCTGTCCAGTTGTCCATCTTCACTCTCTTAATAAATGGTTCAGTGTTCTGCGTGGTTTTCGTCTTTGTCCTGGGGCTGTAAATCATTGGCGGAGCGGGTAGGGAGGCTTACTGGGCTTAAGCCCGGGTTGTTTCAGAAGCCCAGGGTTTTTTGGAATCTAGTTTATTTCACAGTTAGATGCCTGACTGACAACTGTATAAAAAACGACACAATATTTGAGGCACATAGCGCGCAAATTCCCCCTAAATTTGGTATGATCCGAGCTCAGCCGACTGAGCACAGCACTTACGCACGTGAGCGAGGGGGGAGAAGCTGCTGCCTGCGAGTTTTCTGTAGAAGTGCAGACAGAGGAGAGCTTAAGTTTGACCAGGTACCAAAGCAAATCATTCCTACTGTACAAATAATGTAAATATGACGGTGTATCACAAATGATTGATATCAAACTGATCACTTGACCCATATTACGTTACTTGCTCTTCGAGTGAATCAACAAATGGCGAAATGAAAAGCCGAACAACAACAATGCTGTTTTTTTCAGTCTTAGCTTACATGTGTGTTTATTTCATATTTTCAGTTGTTACCCTCCACGGCTAAATAAAGCACTCTAAATCGGTTTCAGTTATGTACTGATGACCACAACAATGGACATAAGGGGCTTCTTTCAAAGAAATAACTCAGGTAGATGTTATTTTATATATTATGCTTTGTATGTTGTTCAGTATATTTCTATGCAAAACAAGAGGAATTTCAATACACAGCAGTATATTCACTGTTTAAACCAGATATTTACACTTTAGGGGGAAAAAAAACATAAAACATTTTTTTTACTGTTGAACATCAATTTAGTAATTTTTTTTGTTTTAGATAAATAAATATTGAAATATTTTTTGAATTAGTTAAATGTCAGAGTAAAGAGAGAGAGAGAGAGATGTCTATTTTTTAGCACTTTCATCAACCTTCCTTTCATATCAAACATCCTTGAAAGAGTAGTTGTCAAACAGCTAACAGATCATCTGCAGAGGTTTATTTGAAGAGTTTCAGTCAGGTTTCAGAGCTCATCACAGCACAGAAACAGCTTTAGTGAAGGTTGCAAATGATCTTCTTATGGCCTCTGACAGTGGACTCATCTCTGTGCTTGTCCTGCTAGACCTCAGTGCAGCGTTTGATACTGTCGACCATAATATCCTATTAGAGCGATTAGAACATGCTGTAGGTATTACAGGTACTGCACTGCAGTGGTTTGTATCATATCTATCTAATAGACTCCAGTTTGTGCATGTAAATGGGGAGTCCTCGTCACACACTGAGGTTAATTATGGAGTTCCACAGGGTTCAGTGCTAGGACCAATTCTGTTTACATTATACATGCTTCCCTTAGGCAGCATCATTAGAAGACATAGCATACATTTACACTGCTATGCAGATGACACCCAGCTCTATCTGTCCATGAAGCCAGATAACACACACCAATTAGTTAAACTGCAGGAATGTCTTAAAGACATAAAGACCTGGATGGCCGCTAAATTTCTGCTTCTTAATTCAGATCAAACTGAGGTTATTGTACTCGGCCATGAAAATCTTAGAAATATGGTATCTAAGCAGATTCTTACTCTGGATGGCATTACCTTGGCCTCCAGTAACACTGTGAGGAACCTTGGAGTCATTTTTGACCAGCATATGTCCTTCAACGCACATATTAAACAAATATGTAAGACTGCTTTCTTCCATTTGCGCAACATCTCTAAAATTAGAAATATCCTGTCTCAGAGTGACGCTGAAAAACTAGTTCATGCATTTATTACTTCCAGGCTGGACGACTGTAATTCATTATTATCAGGATGTCCAAAAAACTCCCTGAAAAGCCTTCAGCTAATCCAAAATGCTGCAGCAAGAGTCCTGACAGGGACTAGAAAGAGAGAGCAGATTTCTCCTGTTTTGGCTTCCCTTCATTGGCTTCCTGTTAAATCCAGAATTGAAATCAAAATCCTGCTCCTCACATACAAGGTCTTAAATAATCAGGCCCCATCTTATCTTAATGACCTTGTAGTACCATATCACCCTATTAGAGCACTTCGCTCTCGCTCTGCAGGCCTACTTGTTGTTCCTAGAGTATTTAAAAGTAGAATGGGAGGCAGAGCCTTCAGTTTTCAGGCCCCTCTTCTGTGGAACCAGCTTCCAGTTTGGATTCAGGAGACAGACACTATCTCTACTTTTAAGATTAGGCTTCAAACTTTTCTTTTTGCTAAAGCATATAGTTAGGGCTGGACCAGGTGACCCTGAATCCTCCCTTAGTTATGCTGCAATAGATGTAGGCTGCCGGGGATTCCCATGATGCATTGAGTTTTTCCTTTCCAGTCACCTTTCTCACTCACTATGTGTTAACAGACCTCTCTGCACTGAATCATATCTGTTATTAACCTCTGTCTCTCTTCCACAGCATGTCTTTATCCTGTCTTCCTTCTCTCACCCCAACCGGTCGCAGCAGATGGCCCCGCCCCTCCCTGAGCGTGGTTCTGCCGGAGGTTTCTTCCTGTTAAAAGGGAGTTTTTCCTTCCCACTGTCGCCAAAGTGCTGCTCATAGGGGGTCATATGATTGTTGGGTTTTTTCTCTTTATCTATGAAGTGCCTTGAGGCGACTTTTGTTGTGATTTGGCGCTATATAAATAAAATTGAATTGAGTTGAATTGAATCAAATTTAGGAGTATATATGCACGAAGTTTATTGTGTCTTTAATTAATAAGAAAACTCCAGACGATTCCATTCTGAGCTTAAGAAACTTCTAATAGGTTAGTAGAGTCCACGTGGATGCATATAAGACACCCCAAAACACAGAGCCCGTTTCTTTGACATGGGAAAATCAAGAGATATCAAGCAAGACACCAGGAAAAGAATTGTGGAGCTCCATAAGTGTGGCTCAATTTCTCACCCCAACCAGTCGCAGCAGATGGCCCCGCCCCTCCCTGAGCCTGGTTCTGCTGGAGGTTTCTTCCTGTTAAAAGGGAGTTTTTCCTTCCCACTGTCGCCAAAGTGCTTGCTCATAGGGGGTCATATGATTGTTGGGTTTTTCTCCGTTTCTATGAAGCGCCTTGAGGCAACTTTTGTTGTGATTTGGCGCTATATAAATAAAATTGAATTGAATTGAATACAATTTGGGTTCCATTTGCAATTAAAAAATACAGACAATTTCTCTCTTTACTTTGAAATTTAACAAATATGTTTTTTTATATTTATCAATCTAAAATAAATAAACATTTAGTCTGATTTGATGTTTTACAATTAAAAAGTGTTTGTGTTTTTACCTGAAGAGTATGTAAACTGTATATTTGATGATGTTGGTGTTTGGCTTGATTGTCAGCACAAAGAGGGAGAGAGAGGAACAGAGAGGGAACAAGAGCAGGTGAGACAGACATGTTAGTCAAATGGTTGTTTGCCAAAACTCATCAGAACATGTATCCAGTCCCTAGTGTATCTTTTTAGGTTTGTTATTTTTCAAATTCTATATTTATTAAGTTATGCAGGCTTGTTTGCACAACAAGGCTAAATAGTTATGTAAACTTTTCTGAATCTAAATAGTGTACTTTGGTAGAATTAAAAAATAATATGGTACAAATTATGTATTGAAAAGCAATACTTGAATAATATTGACCCTGAAAATGTCATCAATAGGTTCGCAAAACTCAGGCCTCAATGATACAGTCTCATGTTACCACAATAAAGAGGTGTTGTCAGTGTCGTGCAGGTCTATGATGATTTTCAGTGCTACTATCATCTAGTTTTGATTCTGGTTCTGTCTTGGTTAAGCTCTAAAGTAGTCCAGATTTTGAACTGTTGTAGTCCTGTTTTAATTCCGGGTCAGGTCAAAATGCAATTGACTGCCTTCTGTTGTGTGATCGGAAGAGGTCTCTTGAAACGTCATTGGGAGTGTGAGGTGAGATAAGCTCTCTTCTGTGGGAATTTGTAACATGTGTTTTTGTACATTTTAACTTGTGTGACCACAGGTTTTTATGCTGTGTTCAGCCCTCTGGTTCTCCAAATGATACTGTCCCTCAACGATTGTTAAAGGAGATTGCCTAGGACAGGCTGTTCTTACTATTATAAACAGCAGTTTGATATCTGGTGTAGTCCCTGCTCATTTTAAGCATGCAGTAGTACAACCCTAGTACAACCCAAGAAACCTGTCTTGCAGGCATTCATGGTACTGCTTTGAATTGGTTTAGGTCTTATCTTTCTGTCAGAACTGTGTTAACTTTTTAGTGTATGAATCCTTTTCTGCTGCTCTTCAGTTTGAGGTTCGCAATTCTAAGGCCTCTGCCCTTTTCATTACATTTACAGCCCTTGGGAACCATTCTTAAAAGGCATGGATTATCCCTCCACTGCCAAAAACTGCCAGATTTATCTGCCTCTGAAGCAGAAAGATGCTTTCTCCATTAAACCGCTTCTGGCATGTCTAGAAGATATTAAAACATGTATGGCCCTAAACTTTTTAAAATGTAATTCAAGCAAAACAGAGGTGATTGTGTTTGGTCCTAGCAGAGCCCTGGCAGGGCTGGCATGGGAAGAAGCAGTTATTTAGTCTATTGGTTTTGAACCTGATGGATCTGAACTTTTTCCAGAGGGCAGGATGTTCAGGGTGTATGATCTCTGGTTGCCAATCTCGACTGATTGTGAACGGTCTGTGAGAAAGTTTTTGGAAGTCCAAGTTGGCTTGGCTATAAGGATGTCTGGGATGATGGTATTGAAGGCCAAGCTGAAGTTAAGGAAGAGCATCCTTACTGATGTCCCAGAAAACATAGGCAAACAGGATCAAACTGCTTTAATTTAATCTAATGTGCTGATTTTATTGTTTTAATTGAATTTTGATTATCATTATTATTATTATTTATTTAAAATTAATTTATAGGGTTTTTTATGTCAAGTGTACAGCACCTTGTTTTCAGCTGGGAGTTGTCTGAAAGTGCTATATGAATAAATTGATTGCTTCCTAAATAAAGCTTGAGCCAAAAAGCGAGTGCTGTCAGGGCACACAGTGACATATCATAAGGTCATAAGGGAGCGACTGTCAGAGTTTTACCCCTGATACTGCTGGATAAACAGAAGCTCACCCAGGAACGAGGTCACACAGAGCTCAAATTTTCACTCGCGAGACGGAAGCAGTTGTCTCCAGCCCACTTCAACTTGCTTTCCCTCTGCAGGCTGTTTTTATTGGTTACACACATGAATATTCATAAAGCTTGTTGCTGTATTACCTATGAGAAATTGCTATAACTGGTTACAAAGTGTGATTGT